CACGCCGCCGCACGCAAACATAACCAACATACGTTACGTAACTAACCTACGTAGCTAGTCTGAAGAAAATACTTGAAAAATATCATTTCTCTCTAGTCTACGTCATCTCTGGTGGTGGTGAAAGTGTATGGACTATGTGTGTTGAAAATGTGCATGGCCGGGTTTTGTTTCATTGCAGGACCGACAGCAGGGGCGAGGCGGAGTTGTCGCCGCGCTCTCATTAAATTAGACAGTAGTTTGATAGCGCGTAAATGTTTCGTTGCTGTCGCAATCTGCCCGCGCAAACATTTGATGCGCATCAACGAGGTATTTATGTTTAGTGCGTTAGAGAGTTCCCGCGCGGGACCGATCACAAGATCTTTTAAATGTATGGTCGTAATATGACGTCACAAGCTAACTATTGTAGTATAACATATTGCTATCTAGTGTTGAGGCGACTCACCGGCGCGCAGTGCGCTATGCCGCCGCCGCCGTAGTAGTACTCGCGGCCGAACACCACCACGGCCGTGTGCCACACGCCCTCCACCTGGCGCCCTGCGCACGCGCACACGCCCACTGTTACACTCGCTCATACAAACATTTCAAAAATTCCCTTTTCGGCACAAGTCATGCAAACTTTTTTTCTACTTGTGGAACCAAGTTCAACCAATCTAATGCTTAATTAAATCCTATAATGGCCGCTGAGGAATTTGATGTTTTTTTATACTCTACATATTTGTAATAACAGTTTAGGCATTTTATTGGAGTGAGATGCAATGATGTTGATATAGAGCGCAAGTTGTTAATGTAACTAAAACTGTTATCGCTCGTAAACACACTACGTATAGAGACAAATAAACGGTGTAAAATTAGCATTGTATAAAAACAGAACAGGAAAAGTGGCACAGAGCTAGCGGCGACGTGTCGCGCTGCGCCGCCGCGCGCCGCCGCCCGCCGCGCGCCGCGCGCCTCACCTGCGTAACCCGAACCCGCAATAACATAGTACCAAACCTTTATATGCATTATAAATTACATTTTATAATTAAAAAAAATATATAATTTTAAGGAATAAATAATTAGTAGGTATATAAATAGATGTGAAGGCAAAACCTGTAAATTGTTTTGTTACATTAAAAATGTGTTTTTTGTTTATATAAAATATAAAAGCAATAGTAAAATGAGAATGTGACCTAGGATGGCAGGAGAGAGCAGCGCGGCCAGGCCGTGGGTGAGGTCGTACACATAGAGGTCTACCGGCGCACCTTCTTCCTCCGCTGCCATACTCTCTACCACTTGGACTGTTCTTTCAACTATTTACAGTTCTGTAAATAAAACCAAATGATCATCAATAAAGTCTACATTTCAATGAGTACAAATATGTTGAAAGAAAAACAAGTGACATTATTAATTCATTATTTCATTTACTAAATAATTTTCCAATGAACCACATACCGCAAGAATATTATAAATTAAGCATTTATATATGCCTGTTATCATATAATACATGTTCAAGTAAGCATCAGAATTTTTTAGTTTTTTAATTTAATTACGAAAATAGGCATTTGTTATGAAAAAGGCACAAACAAGCTGCCACTTCCATTGACACATGTCTAAATATTGATTACATTTGTGGTTGCATTTCATAATATCATCCTTGCAATGAGTTGCTGTCTGAATCTATTGCTTGGTTTGCTTATAAATTGGTTCAGGATATCAACTCTCCAAACACAACATACAAATGATTCTGTTATAAAACAATAATAAATATTTTAACAAAACAATGATATAAAACTCTAATTCCCAAGTGAAAATATTAAATAATAAATTATAGATTTTTCCCTCAAAAATTACTGGTAAACAAAGCAATTTACTATATATTTTTACTCACTATTTAATCTTATAAATATACAAATGAAAATATATCGCTGATTTTATATAACTGACACAGTTTTCGGTTTGTATGTGATTAGTTCTGATTAGATCTATTTCAGGTGTATTTAGAACTGGAATGTATGCCACAGATACGCGTTTCACACAATAACTAATAGATAAGCGCCGAGGAGACCTGCGCCGGCTAACATGTCATTACCACTACACCTGTGCCGACGCCCCTTAACATCAGAACCGATTAAATACGTTTACACTATTGCCGCACACTATTTTATAATTGGAACAAACGACACACAAGTATCAAATATTATATTAAGACATTGTAAGATAAGATGAAATCTAGAAACGCCATTCTAGAAAATACATTAAACATTTTCAATAGAATTAACTCTTACCTGACTTCACTATGAAAGAAGTAGTAGCAATGTTTGAATTCGAAATTCCCACGCAAAAAAACCGCTGCTAAAGTTCGATAATAAAAATAGCTTATGTTTCTATTCCTTTCATTTTTTTAGTCATTCATATTTCATAGTGCTAAAACTGTCTTCAAAACATTTCTGTTCAGCTTTCGGCTAGTTTGACTTTGACAGTACGATATATTAAATTCGTATTGTCATTTCTGTTTATAAACTAAAAAAAAATAATCATTCTTTAAGTAACAATTTTTGTTTTACTATCGATACTTGGTTTTATTATCATATCTATTTTTCCTAAATTTATCCTTTTATATTATTTACAGATTGTGTGACAACAAAATAATGCCCTCTTCTGTAAGTTTGTATCATAATCACTATAAGGATATTAATTAAAAGAATTTAGTTAAAAATAGGACATTTTGACCGGTTAGCCCGTAAACATGGCGCATGCAACTGTGCCGAAATTTCGGGAGCTAAAACGATCCAATCGTGGTATGAAAGTATGAAACCCGTATCTTACGAACATTTTATTTGTAAAAACCACTACAGATTAAAGTTATATTTTATTACTCTTTACTTATTTAACTATCCAAATTAATTCTCTTTTATAATTGATTTAAAAAAACATATTTTAGATACAGGTAATATGTAACAATAAATTCTGAACGTTAGTGACTGTGTTGTGTTAAGTCATGGCATGTCATTGTCATTTGTCATTATCATATGTCAGTTTAGTTTGTATTGCTGTTGGTGTATGTATAGTAATTTAATAAATAGAATGTCAGGATCTAAAAAGATGGTAATTAGTTATATAAATCAAACTAATTAATATTCGCTTGTTATTAAATATCGCAGTCATATAACATCCCTATATGACATCTTACAAAAAAATATGATATCGCCAATGGAATAAGCATTTTGAAAACTGTTTTTATTGTTTTAAATTTACTTCAAATAGATATTGATAGTAACTTAGTAATTTCTTTATATCAAAAAGGCATTTGTTATGACAGTAGTATGATTTGATTTACACAATGACTCAGCAGTTTATGTCGTACAAACAATAGCCGAGAGTGTATTTAAGTTTAGACGAAATAGAGGCTGTATGTGTTGTGACTTTCAGACGCTGCGGGTGCAGTCGCCAGAGGGCACGTCGCGCATCGAAGTGCTGGACACAGATGTGACGTCGCGCCTGTATGAACGAGTCTATGAAGTCTTACGCCTTAATACTTTTGGCTTTTCCCTGTACCGTGACCGACAACGCAAAGAGGAAATTGTCTCGAGCAAATCACATCAACTTCGTGAATACGGTTTACAGCATGGCGACATGTTGTACATGAACCCGGTAAATGGGGCAGTGTTGTTTGAGCAGCCATCCACTAGTGCAGAGGTATGCTATCTCTCGTGATCCACAGCTTACCTCATTTCATAACTCATCAGTTTGCTCCATATCAACTGTCCATTTATTTTTGTGATAGTCCATCTTATTTGCGATGAAAGATCTGTTCCCAACTGAGTAATGATATTAGCCAAGGTATAGTTACATATTTAATTTAATCTATAATTAAGTCAGTGTTCATATGTCATAGTGAATGTTTGTGTTGCAGGACAATAACAAACCTTCGGGGGAGCAGAATAGTGCGGGTATGTCTGCCCCGAGTGCACCCGCATCGGCCCCCAAGCCTGAAGAAGATGAAGTGGATCTAGAGCTCTATCAGCTCTCCGGCGCCATACAAAGACAGAGAGATGACAAATTGTAAACTAAAACATTTTATGCAGCTGTCAAAATTACACAAACACATACCCAACTGGTTATCATCTGTGAGGACATCACCTCTCTCCTCTCCTCTCCTCTCCTCTCCTCGCAATGCATTGCTCACCTGTTTTATAGAGATTTCCATACAAAACTAAATCTTACTTGTCCACTATGTGCTTATATTGAAAACAAAGTACTTTTTCATACATGAATCACAGCAGAATTTTAATTTTAACATCATGATAAAATATAAAAATAAATATGTGTAAGTATCAATGGTCAGGTTTTTATATATATTTTTGGTAGGGTATTGTTAGGACATGGTGTTGCTGGTACTAATGATTGTAAAATGTAAAAATTCACAGAGCAATGATTAGTAATTACAATTTTGATCCTGTAGATGTCGACACAACTCAAAGGGGTGCTGCGTGCATTGCTCGCCGCTGGAGCCCTGGGACGAGGGCTACCTACGGGAGCACAACATCAAGCACATGTCCTTCCACGCGTACCTGCGCAAGATCACCTCGGGAAAATTCATTTCTTTGGATGAACTGTCGTGCAAAATAAAACCAGGTTTGGTGACGTAGGGTGTGATGTTGTGGAGTGGTTGTGCGCGCGCTAACGCCGCGGGTGCCGCAGGCTGCAAGGAGCACCCGCCGTGGCCGCGCGGCATCTGCTCGGCGTGCCAGCCCGGCGCCGTCACGCTCAACCGCCAGCCCTACCGCCACGTGGACAACGTGCTGTTCCAGCGCGCCGGCCTGGTGGAGCGCCTGCTGGCCTACTGGCGCGCCACCGGCCGCCAGCGCCTCGCCTTCCTCTACGGCCGCTACGAGCGACATCCCGACGTGCCGCTCGGTGCGTGTCTCATAGCAACCATAGTCTACTTCTCCCAATACATTCCTTTTTTACTATTACAAATACTGTTAAGTCGGAAAACGGCGTCGCAAATAACTTGAGATTTATAATTGATTTTTTTTAAAATAAAAGACTGGTTGTGTAAAAACTGTAAGAGATTTAGATAAATATGCCATCGCTATCAATTTAGTAGCTTTTTTTTTAATCTACAATTCTCTCATACTACATTTTTATGTCTCTTAATTACAGAAGGCAAAAAAGGAACATTTGGAGGGGTACAAAAATTCAGTGCTATACTAATGAAATATAAATACCAACCTGAATTAATTATGTAAATAGTGGTGAAAACCGTGTTTTAATTAATTTTGCGATTTAGGAGAGCAGAATGCAATAATAGATATAGCGGGCCGCACCAGGCCGCACCAGGCCGCGGCACACTGCATGTATCGCAAAGGCCTCGATTAATAATAATTAACTTTCGAGTCAAGCATAATTGCAAGCCGTGGGTAGTGCCGGCAGTGTTGGCAGCGTCGGCAGTATCGGCAGTGTCG